TTGAGAGAATTTCAAAGGAGTCTGTCATATGGAGCTATGATATATTCAAAGTTTTGACATTCAGGATATCAACCTAGACATTTTTTGATGGCCCTCCAGGGGAGATGACTGGAATTCTGACCGTGTTCCTTCCTCTTTCAATTTTTTGAAAAGCATCAAAATAAGCACAAAATGAGGATCATCTCTCTGCTTGAAAGATCCTTCTTGTATTTCTCTATTTAGAGCTAACAATATATAGTTATTGTTTTGAAGAGCCCTACACGGAACAACTGATCTTCTGAGAAGCTGTCTTCTCTAATTTAAATCTGTGTATGCTTCAGTGATTGTGAATCCTTTTGGTGTTTGAGTGTATTGTCTTTTCTAGTACACTGTGGATCAGGGAACCAGCCAAGACAAAGAATTAGAGAATTCTTTGTGTTAATTTTTATATTCCTAAACATTTGAATTAAGGTACTATTGGAGAGTATTCTTTGCTTTTAAGTAACTAATATAATCATACAGATGAAACCAAACCAAAAACTATCCAGACAGATTTAATCATACACAAGAGACAAATTTAAAATACTGAAATAAAGGAAAACAAGCATAAGTCAAAGAGAGGTAAAAGAGCAGAAAAAGAAAGCAAAGATAGCTGACATCCAAATGTATCTGTTTCTTTAACTTTACATGGTTCTAGTACTCCTATTAAATACAAGAATTTCCATTATAAATATTAAAGTATTTTTCTTCTCTATAATTCCAACTCCAATATGACTATGTTGAGAGTAGATGAAAGAAAAATCATGCCATACATGCATAAATAAAAATAAAATGTCAAGCCAGGCTCTGGTGGCTGGCTCGATTCTGTAGTCCTAGCTACTCAGGAGCCCGAGATCTGAAGATTGTGATTTGAAGCCAGCCAGGGAAGAAATGTCCATGAGACTCTTATCTTCAATAAAAAGAAAAAAAACTACTCAGAAAAAGCCAGAAGTGGTACTATGGCTCAAGTGACAGAGTGCTAGCCTTGAGAAAAAGAAGTTATTTCTTTGTTGCTTTGTATGTCCCTCCCCCTCGGTATAACCCCTGTTTTCCCTGTATTTGATGTTGGTATAATTTGTGGAGGGGAAGGGAAAAAACAAATCATTTAAATAGGGATGCAGGTAGATCCATTGCAACAATGAGATGTACAAGATGTTATGTCGAAAAATGAACTTTACAACTTTGGTGGGGGTGGGGGATGGGAAGGGATGGGAAGGGGAAACAAAGGAGGAGACAACAATGCTTGATAAGAAATGTACTCATCTTGCCCATGTAATTGTAACCCCTCTGTACAGTATTTTCACAATAAAAAAAAAATCTCTTGCATGAAAAAATAAAGAAGTTCAGAGGCAGTGCCCAGGCCCTGAGTTCAAGGCCTAGGATTCTGGCACAAAAATTAGATAAGATAAAATAAGTTATTAATGGTTATATTATCACCCAAGTAGAGTTTAGCGAATGGAAAATTGCATATAATGAAAAAGGGTATCTCATCACACTATAAGATCATTTTGGTGTGTTATTCTTTGTGCCACTACCAGAGAATGTTACAGACTGGATGCTTTATAAACAAGGTAAACTTATCCTCTCCGAGTTTCAGAAGCCTGGAAGTTTGTACTGCTCACATCAGATGTGGACCTGCTTGTTGTATTTTCACATTGGCAGAAGGTTGAAGGGAAAGATGATGAAAATTGTGTTCTCACATATGAGGATGATCATCTACATTTTTTCAGGATTTCCTTAGAGTCCTATTGCCTGGGCCATGAATACATTGCATCTCTGAGGACATTGAAGCACTTTCTATGATGGACCCAGGGTTGATGGCTAGAAGTGTTTGGAGGGTGTTCCCACTCAGCCATCTCTTGGCAAAAATCATGGGCTTGAACTCAGGGCCTGAGCGCTACGCTTTTTAGTTCAAGGCTAGCGCTATACCACTTTGATCCATAGCTCAACTTCCTGATTTCTGGTGGTTAATTGGAAATAAGAGTATTGAGCACTTTCCTGCCCAGGCTGGCTTTGAGCTGCAATCCTCAGATCTCTGCCTCCTAAATTACTAAGATTATAGGCATGAGCCACCTGTACCCAGCACTTGGCAAAATTCTAAGTGAAGCTTTTCATCAGATAAAATTATAAGTTGGAAAGAAAGAAATAAAACCTTAATTATAATATTTGTGCATACAGAAAATCTAAAATGATGAAAACTAGAATTTGTAAGTGCATCTGGCAAGCTACTCCTTATAAGGTCTGTATAAATTTTATTTATTTTATATAAAAAGGCAGGGAAAATCAACCTCCTACTATGTTTTGTTTCAGTTCTTTTTGTGTGTTATTCTATCAATTTCTCAGAACAATTGTGGTATTATTACATTAATTGTGGTGTTTACAAATTACTTTAAACAATAATTTTTGGTGCTTATTGTGTTTATTTTTTCATGAGAAGTGTTTTTCAATCTCATTATCTAGCTTTTTGCTAGGATGTCATAAAGCCAAATTTTGTCTACACATTGACTTTCATGATGCATAAAATTTGGGTTGGGTTTGTTTCCAAAGTGACTGCTTTGAGAATAGTTAGTTTCTGTTGAAAAGTTTTCGAGTCACCGTAGAGTCCACGTGACCTCCAGGATCTGACCTGATTGATGACCCACCTCATTGCAGGTTCACTGCCAAATTCTTCCATGGCTTTGAAGTAATTCTGTTATCAGTAATCTGTGCTTATGTGGATACTTTTCCTATATCAATACATTTGAAAATTTTGCTGCTGTTTTAAAAAACCTTTAAAATTGTTTTCAGGGCTCCTTCCTCCCACATCTTGGAAAACCTACTCACCTTTTGAGAGTGACCTCTGAGCTCATTTTATTCTAGAGTTAATCTGATTTTCTTACCAGTATATATCTGTTACCCCAGGCTGAGGCATTTAATTGAGTTTTGTTTTCTTAAATATATTAAATTGTACTAAAATCATGTAATTTAGGGTACTTAGCTTTTTCTTTTTACTTTTTTTGTGATACTGGGGCTTGAATTTCAGGCTTTATGCTTGCTAGGCAGCTATTTTTCTGTGGAGCAATGCCTCTAGCCCTTTTTTTTTTTTTTTGCACTGTTTATTTTGAGCTAATATCTTCTTTCCCAGGACCTCAGCCAGACTGACATCCATGCATTTTATGCTTTTCATAGCTGAGGTGAACAGTACATACCGCCACGTCAAGTTTTATTCTTTCTTTTCTTTTTTTTTTATTGTGAAAATACTGTACAGAGGGGTTACAATTACATGGGCAAGATAATGAGTACATTTCTTATCAAGCATTGTAGCCTCCTCCTTTGTTTCCCCTTCCCATCCTTTCCCATCCTCCCCCCTCCGCCCCTTCCCAAACCTTCCGCCCCCCTCTTCCCCAAAGTATGTCCCTCCCCCACAGTATAACCCCTGCTTTCACTGTATTTGATGTTGGTATAATTTGTGGAGGGGAAGAGGAAAAACAAATCGCTTAAATAGTGATACAGGTGGACCCACTGCAACAATGTACAAGTCATTATGTTGAAAAGTTTTATTCTTTTAAGGTGATGTCTCGTTTTATTCTTTTAAGGTGATGTCTTGTGAATTTTTTGCCAAGGTGATCTTAGTACCTACCATAATTCTCTCAATCTCAGTCTCCCACATAGCTGGGATGACAAGGAGCATCATCTGTGCCAGGATGTTAGTTGAGAAGGCATCTCTTGGTGTATGCCTGAACTGGTCTTGAAATGTTATAGGTGTGAACCACTGGCTTAATTATGAGTTAATTCTAAGAGTTGGTACTATCCTAACACATAAGTAAACAGAGTCCTAAAGAGATGACATAATTTTAAGTTAATGTGAACCACTGACTTAATTATGAGTTAATTCTAAGAGTTGGTACTATCCTAACACATAAGTAAACAAAGTCCTAAAGAGATGACATAATTTTAAGTTAATGTAACAATGTTGTAGCAGATCTATATTCAAAAGAGAAGAAAATTTCAATCCTTTTGAATTAATTTGCACATATGTTTACATTGTTTTGAGTGAAAAGTATAAGTGGAGAATGTTTTCCAGTTTTTTTCAGAAACTAGTACAAGGTAGGCAGCCTTAGAGGAGGGCATAGTTTTAGGGATAATCTGGAGTAAAACAGCTTACGTCTAAAAAGGAATGACAATATTTAGTTAATAATACATACCTATTTTGAAGCATTAAATTGGATAATGTTCTCAAATGACTTGATTTTGGGCCTCTTATCTGACATTAAGCGCTACTTTCTTTTTTATCACATGATCGTCTATCAAAGCAATGACTCCTTAAATGGGAGGCACCTATGCATTTCTTAATACCTCAAATTTGTCTGCTGCAGAGGACTGCACATATTTTGGGAGAATGAGTGTCATCATGTCACATGGTTTAGATTTTAAAATCAAGCCATCTCAAACAAGCCTCTCCAATTTGAGGAAAATTCATCCATTTTCAATGTCATACTCAGAATCAAAATAGACCTTGATTAGGTTGAATTGGCAATCTAGATAATGGCAGGGAAATTCTGATCTTAGTCAAGAGGATTCCTCCTTTTCTCCCCAGGAAACATCTTTTAGCCTAGAGAGCAGATCTACCTGAGAACAGTAATTTCTCAGATTCTCAGATTCTAGGAGACTGTTTATAAATGGGAAAGGATGGAATTGGTAGTGACAATTGGATATTAGTTCCACTTACTCCCTTAAAATTGTGGACTACATTCTTGCTTCTGTTGGTTATACTATGATTGGTTACTAATCTACACATTGTTTAATGTCTAGGTTTGGGTGGTAAAAAGACTCCATGACTTTTTAATGTGTAGTTTAGGTAGCTTTAATTGGTATGTAGACAAAATCTCCATCTTCCTCGTCAAGGGCTATGAAAAACAAGTAAACATAGGTTTCTGTAGTGGGGCTTTGTTCTGTGTTCTGTTTGTTATATTTTTAACATTTTTTTTCCTTTTTTAATTCAGAGAGAATTTCACATGCGGTTTGTGTAGTTATGGATCCCAAACAAGATAAAGAACCTGTAGATCATTTCCTTGAAGCTCTCAAAAATGAATTAAATGTAAGTATCCAAATATGAAAGTTTGGAAATGTAAGTTTGATAAAGTTGGCCACAAAATTTTGTAGTATTAACATCTACCTTGGAAAAGCATAGGACAAACTTCAGTCCCAATGTATCATTTTGCCTTGAGGAGATTCTTTCCTCTCTTTCCACTTAGGACTTGCAGTTTACTCCAACTCCTGTCCATTCCTGTTGTGATTTTCTCCTGATCTTCATCACTGCAGAACTCCCTGGTGCATGTGCCCCAAACTATCGCCTGGATCTACTTGAAGGTGGTAGTGCACAGCACACGCTAGATTCATAGTAAGCTTTGTTGATTATATAAAAACCACTGAAAAATCAATGTGTATTAATCGAGAAGAATTTTGATTGTAAGTTGAACATTATAATGAAATATCATTGGTATGCCTCGAAAAATAGAAGAAGCAGTAAGTAGGAAGCTGTTGATAGAAACTATGTACAACATTTACCCCAAGGAAACTGCTATAATTGTTTTAATAACTTTGTGGTTTCAAGTATTTTTCTTGCATTTTCATTAATTTCTCTATTTAACTTGTGATCAAAATTATAACTTTTGATCATAAACATAATAAAATTGTGGTCAAAAGTAGACAAGTTCATTTTAGTTAATGGTCTAATTTTATTAGGATATCAAACTGCATATTGCTTTTGTTGCCTAATTTCCTTGTCTGCATACTGAAATATTTAAAAAAAATTATATTATATTTGGGAGAGTTGAACACAATACACTTAAAGTACTCATGTTTTGCTGTATATGCATATTAAATGATTATTGCAAATGTAATTGACATACTACAAAATATTCTTACTGGTTCTCCACCTCCTTTTATAACTCCTTTACTCCTGGACCTTCTCTTTTCTCTATTTCTAATCTACCTCCCCTATGAGTCTAGACCTCACAGCTGGTGAGTGCTTCAGTTTATTTATTTTGAGTATTCCTTGGTCCCATGTTCCCAGAAATTCTTAGCAAAATGAGATTCTTCATGTTGCTCTTTTATATGGAAGTCTGAATTGGCATCCACAGAAGTTGCCCCTCATTTCTGTTGTTTCCTCCGGAATTGCCTGCTCAGCTAATCAGGCAATTCATGCTAATTATTTTATTTTCTAGCTCTCTTAATTTTTCTTTACTTTGGCTGTGATTTCTTAAACTGTGTGGGCCTATACAGATGCAGACAATTTATCTCTACTTTCTGATACCGGTATTGTGATAAATATTGCTTATGGATGCTTGGTTTTGACATTCTTCTTGTGTTTTTATTTTTGGAGGGCTCTATATAAGAGACTAGGATAAAATACCTAGGTGTAGAGTATTTTCTTCCTCTTCATTCTTAGAAAAAATAGATCTCTTGGCCATTTCTAATTTTAAGTGCTTACTTAAATTTCATTTTTAGTGACAGCATGTAATTTATTAAGTTGATACAGAGAGGAACTATGGATTTTTTTTAAATTAAGCTTGACGAGGTTAAGAATATTACTGTAAGCCAAGTTAAGATGTATGTATGTATGCAAGAATCCAAAAGACACGAAGATGACTGCTTCTCAAATACATCTTAATTATGCCTTTTTGTAGGGGATATATTACAGTTTTATTTATACTTTTAACTTAGCTAATACATAATTTATTTTTAATTTTAATTTTTTATAAAAATATTCTTAATGGACACATTAATTGTATTTATTGTGGCTTATAATGTAACATTTCAATAAAATATGCAATAATTAGATCAGGATAATTGGCATATCTATATTGGTAGGACATTCATCACTTCTATGTGTTGGGAGCATTTAAAATGGTTTGATCTGGATATTGTAAGACATTTGGTTAATTGGTATTAACCACAGATACTTTACTGTGCTATAGATGACTAGAAGTCTAGTGAAGAACTTTAATGACTGATACTTGGATATGCTCTTCTTGTAACAATCTTGTTGGGCTTGGAAGAAGATGTCACTTCTGCTTACCTGTCTTCTATTTTTCAATTTCATAACAAATTCTTAAAAAACTTAAACTTAACATACTCTTGTCTTTCCTTGGCAGTCACAAATCTTTGTGCCAAGAACAATGCTATGTACTTTTGTTTTTGAAATCATTCTACAATGTCTCTTCTTTTCTTTTTAGAACTAGAAACAGAGAAACCTTCTGGGTTTGATTTACCTAGAGTTATATAATTAGTGAGTATAGATGCTAGTTGGTGTGATATGATTTTTACTAATTATTAATCTAAGGACAGTGAGTTTGACAGAGAGTACAGTTAAGGTCTGAAAGGGAAATGATTATCTAGTTTCATGTATTTTATTTTTCCCTTATAAAGGTAAATTTATTTTATGGCAATTTGTTTTAGCCCATTACTTAAAGTAAACACAAAATGCCATCTATTCTAACATTTTTATCTCTAAGAGCTTTTGTCTGAATTTGAAAAGAATATATAAAAAGAATGAAGTCATCACTATTGAAATCTGTAGGCCAGATCAGTGGGTATGGAGCTGCTCAATGTACAATAGGAGGATTGTTTTATTGATTTGTAAAGTGTTTCCCATTGAAACCAAAGGAGGAGAGTGAGTATGCTCATGGTAATTTCCTGGATAGACTTGCAACAGAACTTTCAGGTTTTCCAAATATCTTAACTCTAATGGTAATGGAAAATACAAAATTCACAGAGGAGGTTGCTAAAGCAGTAAATTAACCAGTGAGTTGGTTAAGAGATATCCCTCGTTTTACTACTACTAAATTAGAGTACTTTATTAACACCTTGACCATAATTGTTAGATTGTTCCTTAAGAACTTTTAAGTGTTTCAATGAACCTTCCCATGTTAGAGACAGAACTCTTCAGAGAGGGTTGACAGTGATGTAAGGGGCCTCTTCCACTTTTTCCCAGCTCTCAACAAATACTGAATAATAGTTGACATGACTGAAACTACTAAGGAATGTTTAGGAAAGATCAATCTCCTGTTAGGTTCTTAATTTATTGATTTATTTACCAACTCATAAATGCCTATTCTGCTGGATCATAATTGAAAATCAGCCTTAGCAAGTAAGTCCAAGAGACTGTTATCTCCAATTAATTAGAAAAATCCAGGAATGGAAATGTGATTCAAATGGTACAACACCAGTACTGATTAAAAAGAAAAAAAACCAAGCAAGACACAAGGCCTTGAGTTCAAGCCCCGGTACTGTGTGTGTACGTGCACACGTGTGCAAACACACACAAATGTGCTCACACATACACTTACACACATGCCCACATTCACAAAATGATTGGATATATAGAATTAAAGCAATTATAGCTCCTGTCTCAAGGAGTTTTTCATTGAATTGGATATCTCCAATAAATATATACAAATATCCAAAGACTGTTTTATTAAAAATTGTCATGAATATTCTAAGACAAAGTAACCTGTGTCAGGGAGAATGATTTATTGGGGTTGGAGGCAATGAGTGAATTCTCTCAGCAGATTGTGGCCATTATATTAACGTAGAAGGGCAACCAAGTGTTATCTATTTGAAGAGCAAGGCAGAAGGAACAATATATGAAAGACATTAAGAGCTTAGTTCAGGGGGACTGTGACTAGAGTGGAGACAGAATGAGAGGATATGAAGTGAGAAATGGGGACAGACTCAGAGGTAGCTTTACTGGCTCTTCTGAGATCACTGAGTTACTGCAGGTATTATTATTTTATATTTTGTCTTAAGAACAAAATAAAGTGATAGAGAACTGTAGCTGAAAATGACAAGGTCTAGTTCTCCTTCACAAAAAGTTTTGGGGCTGATGTTTCCTTTCTATAGAAGAAGGCATGCAGTTTGATTGTTTTTATATATCACATCACTCCCACACTCCCATGAAACTGTTCAACCCAATTTTAATTCCTGTAATAAAAGAAATGAAGTTCCTAAAGTATACTGATCTACATACCTGAACAAATAGGGATCCTAGAAGCTTTTGTGTATTTTGCTTATCCCTTCCTTCCTGTTTCCCAGAGCATATAATTTAATTATTGTTTTGTATAACCACAGATGACAAGCAGAGTATAACTGGAAATCATTTGTTCTGCTGGGTATATAGCACATGCTCTGGTTTGTCCCTCGTTTAATTTTCCTTATGCCCTCCAGGTAGTGTCCAGTGTATGGATGTGGATCTTTTGTTATCGACCTCAATAAATTCCATATATGTAATATGTCAAACAAAACATCAAGAGTAGTAAATGGTCAGAGGAAAAGCAGAAATGAAAGAAAGAAAATTAAGCTCTATCAGAATCTTAAGAAGCAGTCAACATAGTTATTTTATGTTGATTTTGAAGCAGATGATGTATTTAGTTTGAAGATACAGATTTTCATTTTTGGGGCTAAGTGTAGTTAATAGAAGAGTGACACTATAACGCTATTTCTTCTCTTGGTCCTCTGACTCTGAACGAAGACAATTAACTCTAGGGGATAATTGTATATGAGAGTAGAAACTGTCTGAAGACCAACCCATTGGGGCGGGTCAGACCATTCTATCCAGTTAGCCAGATTTTCTGATGGTTTCTTTTGGGTCCGGTCGTGGGGCCTGAACTCTGGGCCTGGGCACTGTCCCTCAGCTCTTCAGCTCAAGGCTAGCGCCCTACCACTTGAGCCACAGCCCCACTTCCAGCTTTTTTTTTCTTTTTGCTTATGTGGTGCTGAGGAACCCAGGGCCTCAGGCATGCAAGGCAAGCGCTCTTCCACTGAGCCATCTTTCCAGCTCTGATGGTTTCTTTAGAGGAGAAAAGAAAGTCTAAACTTATTGGGGTATTGTTGCTTAAGATGGGATTAATTATGTACACAACATATTTGTCAAAGTCAGTTTATAATTACAAATGTTTGCCATGGCTGTGTGATGTGACTGTTAATGTTGGAGGTCGGTTACTATTACTTAATTTTCCCTATATATTTAACATATATTTTGCTTTTTAGCTAGTATATTTGTGAGACACCAGAACCTGTCAAGTTATTGCTTCTCCT